TATTAGTAAATCTACTCCAATAACTTATTAAAAAGATTACTCACCATGATAAAGTGGGATTCATCCCAGGGATGCAAGGATTTTTCAGCATATGCAAGTCAACAAATGTGATACATCACATTACCAAAATGAAGGATAAAAAGCATGTGATCACTTCAACAGACACGTAGAAAGCATCTGTCAAAATTCAAAACCCCTTCATGATAAAACTCTCATCAAATTAGGTATAGAATGAATGTACCTAAACATAGTAAAGGCCATATATGAGAAACGCAAAGCTAACATCACACAGAATGGGGGAAAAGTGAAAAGCTTTTCCTCTAAATCTGAAATAAGAAAGGATGCCCACTTTCACTCCTTCTATTCAACACAGTACTAGAAGTCCCAACAAGAACAATTAGTCAAGAGAAAGAAATAAAAGACATCCAAATTGGTAAGGAAGAAGTTAAACTGTCCCTACTTGCAGATGACATAATCTTATAGAAGACACTGAAGACTCAAGCCAAAAACTATTAGAACTAGTAAAAAAATTCAGTAAAGTTGCAGAATATAAAAATCAATATACCAACACCAGTAGTGTTTCTATACACTAACAGCGAACTAATTTGAAAAAGAAGTCAAGAAAACAATCCCACTTACGATAGCTATACAAAAAAATACTGGCTGGGCGCAGTGGCTCATGCCTGTAATCCCAACACTTTGGGAGGCCGAGGTGGGTGGATCACCTGAGGTCAGGAGTTCGAGATCAGCCTGGCCAACATAGCGAAACCCTGTCTCTACTAAAAATATAAAACATTAGCTGGGTGTGCTGGCGGGCTAGGGAGGCTGAGGCAGGAGAATCGCTTGAACCCAGGAGGTGGACATTGCGGTGAGCCGAGATTGCACCAATGCACTCCAGTCTGGGCAACAAGAGTGAAACTCCATCTAAAACACACACACACACACACACACACACACACACACACACACACACCCCCAAAAAACCCCAAAAAACTTAGGAATAAATTTATCCATGGAGGTGAAAGATCTCTACACTGAAAACTGTAAAACACAGATGAAAGAAATTAAACAAAAAATAAACAGAAATACATCTGTGTTCATGGATTGGAAGAATTAACACTGTTAAAATATCCATACTGCCAAAAGCAATCGACAGATTCAATGCAATCATTATCAAAATATCAATGACATTCTTCACAGAAACAGAAAAAACAATCCTAAAATTCATGTGGAACCATAAAAGAACTTGAATAGCCAAAGTAATCCTGAGAAAAAATAACAAAGCTAGAGGCATCACACTGTAGCTGAGATCTGACTTGAAAACATACTACAAAGCTACAGTAACTGAAACAGCATCATAGTGGCATTAAAACAGACACACGGATCAATGGACAGTATACAGCCTAGAAATAAATCCATCCATTGAACAGCCAACTGATTTTTGACAACAATGCCAAGAACACACATAGGGAAAGGATAATCTCTTCAATAAATGGTATTGGGAAAACTGGATCTACAAATGCAGAAACATGAAAGTAAATCCTCTCTCTCACCATATACAAAAAAAAAAATCAACTCAAAATGGATTAAAGACTTAAATATAACACCTGAAAATAAAAATCTAGTAGAAAATGACAAGACAGAAGCCCCACGACATTGGTCTGGGCAATGGCTTTTTGGATATGACCTCAAAAGCATAGGCATCAAAAGCAAACATAGATTAATGGGATTACATTAACCTCAAAAACTTCTGCACAGTAAAGGACATAAGCCTCAGATTAAAGAGGCAACCTATAGAATAGGGGAAAATATTTGTAAACCATATATATTTGATTAATATCCAAAACATATAAGGAATTCAAACAACTCAAGAGCAGGATAATAAATAGCCCTATTAAAAAATGGGCAAAATACCTGAAAAGACATTTCTCAAAATAAGAATTACAAATGGCCAAGAGAGGTACACAAAAAAAATGCTCAGTATCAATAATCATCAAGGAAATATAAATCAAAACCACAGTGAGACACACCTGTTATAATGGCTTTTATCAGTATGACAAAAGATAATAAATGTGGCAAGGATGTTGGTGGGAATGTAAATTAGAAAAGCCATTAGAAAAACAGTATAGAGGTTCCTCAAAAAATTAAAAATAGAACTACCACATGATCCAGCAATCCTACTACTGGGTTTATAACAAAAGGATATGAAATCAGTGTGTCAAAGAGATACCTGCACCCCCATGTTCACTGCAACATTATTCACAAGATATGGAATCAATCGAAGTGTGCATCAATGGATGAATGGATAAAGAAAATGTAGTGTACATATACAATGGAATACTATTCAGCTATAAAAAGAAGAAAATCCTGTAATTTGTGACAACAGGGATGAACCTGGAGGACATGATGTTAAGTGAAATCAGCTAGGCACAGAAAGATGGATATTCCATGATTTTGCTCATATGTGGAATCTGAAAAAGTTGATCTCTTAGAAGTAGAGTAGATGGTGGTTACCAGAGGCTGGGGTGGTTAGAAGAAAGGGGGTTTTGGGGAGATGTTGGTCAAAGGATATATAATTACAGTTAGATAGGAGGAGTAGGTTTAAGAGATCTATTGTTCAGCATGGTGACTACAGTTGATTATGATATACTGTGTTATTGAAAAATGCAAAGACAGTGGATGTTAGGTATTCTTATTGCAAAAATAACCATGAGATAATACATTTGTTAATTAGCTAGATTTAACCATTCTATAATGTATATATTCTATTTACTTCAAAACATCATGCTGTACATACATATGTACCATTTCATCTGTCAACTTTATTTTATTTTATTTATTTATTTAATTATTTGTTTTTTTTGAGATGGAGTCTTGCTCTGTTGCCCAGGCTGGAGTGCAGTGGCATGATCTCAGCTCACTGCAAGCTCTGAATCCTGGGTTCACGCCATTCTCCTGCCTCAGCCTCCCGAGTAGCTGGCATACAGGTGCTCACCACCACGCCCAGCTAATTTTTTGTATTTTTAGTAGAGACGGGGTTTCACCGTGTTAGCCAGGATGGTCTTGCTCTCCTGACCTCATGATCTACCCGCCTTGGCCTCCCAAAGTGCTGGGATTACAGGCGTGAGCTACCATGCCTGGCCTGTCAACTTTAAAGTGAAAAAAAAAGAAGTTACTAAATGGCAGGACTGGTTCTCTCTGATAGCTCTTTAAAAATATGAAGACAGTGTGTTTTCCCTTAAAGTAATCTTTTCTGGTATCAATTGTAAGTATTCTATGTAGGTCAGTTTCTGGGATACCCTAGTCATTTATGCATGAATTACTTTTACTTTGATCAAGTCCACTCTAAAATGTATTATCCATTTTCAACACACTATTTTAGATATGGACTTAATAGAAAAAATCCAAAGGGCATGAGACTCACCTTCAAGAAGGAAAGAAAAAGGAATAGAACCACATGAACAATTTATATATACATTCAGTACCATTTATATTTATCACATTAAACTTTGACACACATGCCCAGCTACTCTTCCAGAGTGATCCTGTCACTTCTCCACTCACAAGCCTTCAGTGGCTTTCCATTTCATCCAGAGAAAAGCCTGAGCCCTTACAAAGGCCTGCAGGGCCTGTATGCTCTGGCACCCTAGTTCCTTCTGTTCCTCATCTGTTATTCCCTTCATATTCCAAGGCAAGAACCTCTTAGCTCTTCCTTGTGTATCCCAAGCAAGTTCTCGCCTCAGGGTCTTTGAACCTTTTTTCTTTCTCGACTAGAATGATATCCTTCAGCAAACAACTGATGAGCCACTTCCCCATTTCCTTCAGGCCAAATGTCACCTTAGTGAAGCCTACCCTGACTGCCCTATGTGAAACAGCAACTCCAACTTCCCAATATTTCCTGTGCTCCTTTCTTTGCTTTGCTTTTCTTCATAGTCCTTACTCAATCTAATATATAATTTATCCATCTGTCCATCTATTAATTGATTGATGCCTTTCATCCTCTTGCTGAAATGTAAGCTCCATGAGGATAGGACTTTTTCATGTTTTGCCCACTGCTATCTAATACTGCCTGGCAAATTAAATGCTAATTATTATTAGCACAGTATCTGACATATAAGCTCTCAATAAATATTAGCTATTATTATTATCACCAAATTATAAGCTTTTAGCAGTTTATTCTGAAAATTACTAAACCATAGGCATACCTGGTAAGACTACAACATACATAAAAATAAGTATCAGAAATTAATAGCCACATAAGAATACAGCACCTTCAAAATATATTTATTCCAGTAGTATTAATAGTCACATAAGAATATAGCACCTTCAAAATATATTTATTCCAGTAGTATTTAAATAAAGTACTACATATTCTAGCACCATAAAATTCATTGTGAATTTTGCTTACAAGTCATATGTGGTACAGGTTAAGTATCCCCATCCAAAATGATGAGGACTAGAAGTATTTTGGATTTTAGAATATTTGCATTACTGCCTGAACATCCCTAATCTGAATATGCAAAATCTGAAATGTTCCAATGAGCACTTCCTTTGTGTGTCATGTTAGCACTCAAAAAGTTTCAGATTTTGGAACATTTCAGATTTCAGATTTTCAGATTAGGGATACACAACCTATATAAAATTTGATTACTTAGCTTAATATCTTTAATTTATATCAGTGGTCCTCAGTCTTGTTTTCCATACTACACTTTGCAGTTCCATTGAGAACAGCTTTCTCTACTACACTTTGCACTCCCATTGAGAACAGTGGCTCAGTAGAACAGTGATTCTCTGCTAAGTAGGGGGAATGTGGTAGGTAGTGGGTAAGGGTGGGTTGTCTTGAGTTGAGAATTACTAGTCCACGTAATGGAAACACATTTTTAAAAAGAGTTGTCATTCAAAGGGAATAAATGAGTTACATATATTAAAAAAAAAATCAAGTATATGTCACAGATCCATTTCTTAATTTATACCCAAATATATACTTAAAAATCTCTTACAAGTGTGTTTTCTCCATTGGAACTATTCCAGAGCCTCATTCGATTATCTGTACCAACAGTGAGGAGGTGAAGCCCATCACTTGTAAAACATAAGCCATTAACTTTCCCATTATGAGCAGTGTTTGCTGCAATGAAAAATATGGTTCAGTTTATCTGTTCTTGTATTCAGGACCTATTTAATGTTTGATGATATAATTATTTAAACATATTAAAGGACAACTACTTGAGTTACTTAAAAAATGTAAGTAGATTATACTTAAAATTAACCAACCCTTCAGATTATTTGAATAGGATAAACTATATAAATCAGAACCATAAAAATAGAGGAAAACAAGAAAAAAGGGAAAAAATTTCTGCCAAACATACTTTTTTTTTCCAGCAAGGAAGCTGTGCCATGAAATTCAATTAAGTGTGTAGCTTAACACTAAAATTTAAAATTAAATGCCTTTCATCTCTCTTATATTTTTATTGCTAACCTAAAAATAACTCCATGGACTATTAAAATCAGTAATTCTAGTGTTTTCCATTAAAAAAAAAAAAACCTTAATGGGAAGGATGACTGTTGTAGTCTCAAAATTTATATCACTTTCAAAATTAACAAGTTCGAGAAAGCATAATTCTAAAACAGCCTAATTAATTTAAAAACATATAAAACATGTTTTATATAGTTTACATGTTCATAAGGTTTTTTAAAAAAACTATATAAATTCTAACATATGAAATATATTAGGATGAACTATATAAAACCTATGATTGTTTTATATAGTTTTTTAGTTTAAAAATACATAGTTTTTTAGTTTAAAAACTTAAACAATCATAGGTTTTATATAGTTCATTCTGATATATTTCTGGTCCAGAATTAATTCTATACCAAAATTTCTACATAGGAATTAAATTCTACTGTAAAAATGCAGTTTAGGTACTTTGTCACATGGATTGCAGCTGACTCACATTTAACACAATTTTATGTTGATACAATGGCCACAAAATGTTACTATTTCTGTAATTTATTGTGACTTTTTAAATGGCATTGAATTTGTATAGTTGGCCTCAATGGAGCAAAAACAAAATAAGTAAAGCAAGTTAATTCAGAAAAATTTCTACTTTTGAAAATTTGGGGGCAAATGAAACTGCCATTTTTATTTGTATCTTAAAGAAAGAGAATCATAAGTTTTTTTTTACATAAATTAAGAAAGTGATATATGATTAATGCCTTTTTAAAAATGATAAAGTTCGCAATTTGTCAATATGCATTTATTATTTGGCTTCAATTAAAAATGTTCAATGTGAAAAAATACTATCATTGTTGTATTTCTTCATTAACGTGTTCTTCCTTACCTGATTCAACAGCTTGTGACTTTTTCCCATTATGTTGATCAAGAGTAATCAAACATCCTGATGCTCTTCTCACATCCCATAATTTTACTCTACTGTCAGCACTGAGAATAAATAAATGTTACATTGACATATGTAGCTAGGACAATGACTGTACCCCTCACCCACCTTTCTAGTTTTACGGCACACAGAGGTCTTGTTATATAGGTACGTATGTATTCATACATTGGAGTTGTTGAACTTTCGCCTTTTCAGCAAATATTCATTAGTCAACAGTAGCTCAAATTAGTGAGTAAAAAAAAAAAAAAAAAAAAAAAAAAAAAAAAAAGGTAACCTTTCTTTTCCAGATAACAAGAACAAAATTTTGCTACTTTTTATACCGTTTTAAATTACATGAGCATCTTTTCTCCCAAGGACCAGAAAGGCTTGTAGCTTATCCCTAGTAAGTTCCTTACCATACCTTCTCTACCGCTTGTTATCCAAATGCTGTCAAGACAAGCAGTTAACTAATTTTACTTTGCTCAAGAATCTATTTGCTATGATTTGGTGTTTTTTTCCTTTTTATATAAAGAACGGTAAGAGTAAGGTGAATAATGAGGACAATGCATTTCCATTTGGTTTCCTATACTCAAATCAATCTTTGCCATATATGTGAGAACTATATTTAATGTTGCCTAGAAATTAAACACTTACTTCTATTTTCTTTCAAGTAAGTGAAAAGAAGAAAAGTAAATCTATGATCAGACATCTATTTCAGCTTCTAGATTATTTCTAAAGAAAAATGCCCGGCAATCCAATGTGCTCCTAATCAGTTCAACTGATGCTATCATGTCCTTACAAGGACCTCAACAATATTGTAACCCAGGGGGCTATTCAATGTCATTTTAATGAGAGAGCACTACATTACATTTTTATAAGCCTATTTTTTATTTATGAGTTTTAAAAAAATATACACACAGGGTGTACTGGTTTCTATAATCTCGATTCTTTTCACAGATGATCATCAAACCTAGCCAACTGGAATAGTCAGCAAAAAGCTAGCATTTCCCATTCTTAAGTTGGTTTTCTTTCTTTCCAGGTGAGGGAAACGAAATCAGTATGAGGATTTACATTTCTTCTGAAACAGGTAAGATTTGAACATATCCAACTTTTAACACTGATTACTAGGTCCATTCTGGTACTGATTCAAATTTCTGGAGAATTCTTATAATTGAAAGCTTCTTAGCTCTCCTCTTATCTGATGAAAACCAAGTTAAGCATGAACAATGTAAAATCCACCCAAGCATAACCAGCACCTAGTTCCTAACCTTCATACCTCTTTAGCTAGTCTTCTTATGGCTACATTATAGACCTTGCTGCACTTTAGAAATGGTAAATTTCAACATCACATTCTGCCAATTATTAACAGAAGCTTCTTTGGGGCCTAAACTGTGGCAGGGAGCGAGGGCTGGAAACTTAAAAAAAATCCAGACACAGATCTTTATAAAATTAATATGAATAGCTTTTGTAATAATTCTTCTTCTACTTAAAGCTTTATGAAAATATATCAAAATATTTGATTACTACTTCCTATCCCTTCAGTTTTTAAGTTTTCTTTGTCTAACTCTCCTACTTCATTAGATCCTTGATCCTTTCTACAAGTCTTTTTGTGATTTTATTTTTTTCCTTTTACTCACGACTTCTAAATTTTCAGGCACTGAGGTACTTTCCTGTAGACACTGAAAATTGTTAAGCCTCTTTCATTTAATGTTTTAATTTCTGTGGCTTATTACAGCTGTGCTCTACATCTTCAACTGAGAACTGCCCAGTAATCCTACGCGCCCTTAATCAGCTCCCTCACTCTTTCAATCTATTATTCCAGATCCATACTATCTTTCCTCAAAATTGCATCCTCATTCCTATATTTTCAAGAGGTGACATTAAGTTCTACTCCACTAAAAACCGAGAAGCCATTAAGTCTGAATTTCTTGAGCTTCTCTGCCAAAGCTACAAACTTAACTGTATCCACGTTCACCTTTTCCTTTTTCCATTTAGTCTCACAGTGCTCTTCATGTGCCAAACTAGGTGTCCCCTCCACCCTCATCTGGATCCTCAATACTAACCACTTCTGTGTATTTGAGGACCTAATGCACCAATTATTCCCTCCATTTCTTATCTTCACTTGTTTCTCTCTACTGGTACTCTTTCCCCAGCATATAAATATGCAATACTCTTTTTTCTCCAGCAAACAAATAAACCTCCCCACATCTTTTGATCCTTTCAGAGTTAAGTGATCCTGTTTTCTTTTCCTATATTACTCCTTCTAGAGATGTACCTCTATTAAAGCATTTTTCAGGATGCCCCGTAATCACTGATTTTTGACTATATGCCCCATTAGATCATTAGATTGTTGGCTTTTCGAAGCCTTAGTTACCTGTGTCCCTAGCACAACGCTTGGCATGTGGGAGGAAGTCATTAAATATCAGAAAATTGAATCAATTAATGTGTGGATATATCACATTCAAAAGAATTCCAGGTTAAAGATAATGCATAAAAATGCTCTATTTAAAAATTTGCAGTGTTATACTTTTGTGTGTAAGAATGACACAACACAGTTCCTCTGTGTTCTAAGGTGAAACACCTTGAAAGTGGATAGGATTAGAATTAGAATACAAAGGAAGACTTCTTTTGGTGACATGAATTAAAATTTCTAACTCAAGACTTCATTTTAAAGGAGTGAATTAATAATTAAATATGCTAAAATATATACATTACATAAATGTAGACTTTTCAAAATGCTTATTCTTAATTACTAACTTCAAAAGCAAATAATTTTACCTTGCCGTTGCCAAGATATAGTCATAACGTGGCGACCAGGAAACTGCTAATATTTCTTGTCTGTGACCTGCAAATACAACTATATGAAAAGTCTTGCAAGATATCCGAAAAATCAGAAGATAAAGTGCCAATAATTTTGCCTGATTCTGAAGAAAGTGAGGCTAAACACTCAATGTGAATAGATATGGTCATTTCTCAGATTTATAATAATTGACATTTCAATGCTAATGTGAAGTTTACAGGAGTATTTCTAACACATGGTATTTTATTGTAAAAGAACTAGTTTTGCTTTGGAAAAAACGGAGTTAAGTAAGTCTTTCTTTTTAAATACAGTAGTTAGCCTATGGCAGTAAATCCATATAACTCAAGCTCAGTTACTGTAATAAAATATACAAGATAAACATTTTAAAGGATAAAAATGTTTCCCAATTTCTCATAAAGTTATGAGAAAATTACTTTAATTCATGATTGTAGAAAAGCATTTAAATAAAATGTTTTTTTCTAGAAAGCACAGGTGATAAGTTCAAAGGGTAAGTGATTTCAATATTTTAATTCACTTTTACCTAACTGAACTATTCACATAAGACATTTCCATCTGCTCAGCTTATATTAATAAAAATTCATAATAATGTCAAAAATGCTACCCATCTCACCAACTTTTCTTAATATATTTGTTATATGTTTCTTTGAGATGACTAAAAATATATAAATTATATTCTATCTTTTCATTGTTTAGAATTAGACAATCTAATACTGATAAAAGTAGCAAGAATAATTTAAATACACCTTTACCAAAGAATTACTTCAATATATTTTTCTAAAATGTTTTTACTGAGAAAAAAGGTACCTAAATATTAAGAACAATATTTACTCATTAGCCAGAATATTAAATAATACATGAGACAAATACACTGATGTGAGTTGCGTTAGTTTTTTTAAATGTAGAAATAACACAAGGTTTTGAGTTAGAACTATTTTTCATATCATTTGAGCTTCCCCAATGACCACTGTTCACATAAATGTCTTTTCAGTGGTTCAGTTTTATAAGAATAATGCACGGAAGGATCTTTATTTCTCTGCTGACTTTTAACAACTAGCACAAAGTACATCAGTCATGTCACTTACAAAGAATACATTGTTAGTAACGTTTCTTTTTATTGAATTGTTTACTCAAAGTAGTTGCTGTTTGAAATAAAATAAAAATACCCTGTAGAATGTGAGAACAGGATCCAGACTTCAAGTCACAAAGTTGTACTTTGGGTCCTCTAGTACCAACTGTAAAAACAGAACCGGTTTAATTTTATCATAAGTCATCATCAAAAGGAAACAAGACATTATCATTAGTAATCATGACATTTTCACTGTATCCATGCAGAAATATAAAGATACATGCCAAAAATACATTGTCATTTTTAATGTTTACATTTAGAAAAGTTATTTTAACTACAGTTATATTTTAGTAGTAAGAGACCTCTATTATTCCATTATTTTTCATTCTGAAATAATTATAGATTTGCAAGCAGTTGCAAAGCTAGTATAAAGAGAACTGTGTACCCTTCACTAGGTTTCCCCAACGATTATGTGTGAGCTTACTAAAACACAGTATCAAACCCAGGAAATTTATATTGGTAAATGTGTACGTATGTATGTATAGTTCTACTCCATTTTATCACATCAAATCATTGTATTTTAAAAGCTTAGTTTTTCCAAGTTAATGATATACTTCCAATCACTAGTAACAGATTCACGGAAACTCTGGACACAGACTGAAAGGACCTCAAAGACAACTTAGTTCCTAGCTCTTCTTTACAGATAAAAGAGCTGACTGATATCCAGAGGTAGAGACTCACGTGATGCCACAGAAATAATGAATCACAGGGCCCAGATACCTGATACCAGAAAATCATTTTTTCTCCCTTATAATATGAAGATGTTTGTTGCAGTTGCTTTTTTTTTTTTTTGAGACGGAGTCTCGCGCTGTGTCACCCAGACTGGAGTGCAGTGGCGCGATCTCGGCTCACTGCAAGCTCCGCCTCCCAGGTTCACGCCATTCTCCTGCCTCAGCCTCCGAGTAGCTGGGACTACAGGCGCCCGCCACCACGCCCGGCTAGTTTTTTGTATTTTTAGTAGAGACGGGGTTTCACCATGTTAGCCAGGATGGTCTCGATCTCCTGACCTCGTGATCCACCCGCCTCGGCCTCCCAAAGTGCTGGGATTACAGGCTTGAGCCACCGCGCCCGGCCTGCAGTTGCTTTTATATAAATTGATGCTTAATTTGAATCACAATCTTAGAGAAAGAAATAATTTTCTTGTTTTATTGTGTCAAATTGGGAAAGTTGCCAAATTTTATTCATGTAAAATCTCTGAAACTTCGGTGGTTTAAAAGGAACTCTTTAGAGGACAGAAATATGCTCTTATTCTCTGAACCCTGGCCACTAGCATAGTGCTTGCCTTGTACAATATCTGTTGAACTGAATATAAATAGTACATATATATATATATAAAAAGAATTGTGATATTCCTGTGGGTTAAAATGTCTACATCAAAACTAACTAGAAATAAAAAGGGAGAAAGTTTTCAATATTTCAAAAGACAAAAGAATACACTCACAAACCTGCTACCAAACAGTGCTTGGTGGAGACTGGAGACATATGATGACTATAAACTGTTTCCTCAAAATTAAATACATCTGCAGTCTGGTAATCAAAAGACATTAAAAAAGTATAAGGTTTAAGTAAAAAAGCAATAAGATTTCTATTTACTTTTCCCTAAATTTGTAGCTATTTTTAAATTGACTGTTAGCAATTCAACTTAAACATAGGAATGTAATACCCCAAAAAACCTTGATAATTTGAAATCCTGTCATTTACAACATTCTTTTCCCTTCTATGAGAAAAAAATATGTTTTCCCAATAAATCCCACAAATTAAGAAAATACAAGCATGTGCCTCTCCATATTCCATATTCCTGGTGGGGAGAGAGCTCAGCATCTACATGGATGATGTAGTCAGCACTGCATCTCAGTTCCATATAACCTGAGCTACCACACCCAGGACACTGTCACTACCTAGAATTGCCCCTTCTTTGAAATCATACATTTCAGTTATCTATGACCACAGTCTTCTATAATTTTCAGCTATTCCCCACCAAATACTCTCAAGAAATCCAAATAAACTCTGGAACCCCTATCAGTTCCTTTCATCTACTTCTCTTCCTCTCCAGCTTGGATTTCAAAGTCCAATACCAATACCAAAGTCAACTGCCAATATCTGCAATTCCTTTGCTAATATCCTTCCATTTGTCAAGACTTCAACCCTGGGCGACTCCAAATGTCTGCCTTCTCTATACTTATATCCAAATTGACCTACATTAGGGGTTGGCAAACTTTCTGTAAAAGTCAGATGGTAAATATTTTAGGCTTTCAGGACCAACTACTCATCTCTGTCACTGCAGTGTTAAAGCAGTCATAGACAATAAATGCACATATTGTAACTGCTCACCAGGTTCTTTCTGCCTGCTGCACAAACAAAACCAATTCACAAAGACCATGGCATTGCAGTAAAGAGTTTAACTGATGCAAGGCTGGCTGTGCCAAGTGGGAGATGGGATTTATTAACATTAATCAATCTCCTTGAAGTCTTGTAGGTTAGGGGTTTTTCAAAGGTAGTTTGAGGGAAGGGGTGGGAGTGGTTAGGCAACGAATGGGTGCTTGCTGTTGACTGGTTGGGGGTGCAACCATAAGGGTATGGGGAATGGCCCTCTTGTCCACTGAGCCACTTTTGGGTGGGGCCACAGGGGCAGTTGGTAGGTCCAGGTGGTGCCACTGGTGTCAGATATGAAAAAATCCTGAAAAGATATCTCAAAAGGCCAATCTCAGGTTCTGCAGTTGTGATGTTATATACAGGAGTAATTGGGGAAGTTATATATCTTGTGACCTCTGGAATAATGGCTGGCAATCATTTATGTCTCTTTATTTATTTATTTATCTATTTTTGAGACCAGGTTATGAGACTGGCTAATTTTTGTATTTTTGGTAGAGATGGGGTTTTGCCATGTTGCCCAGGCTGGTCTCGAACTCCTGGGCTCAAGCAATCCACTCTCCTTGGCCTCCCAAAGTGTTGGGATTACAGGTGTGAGCCACTGCTGAGCCTATATCTTAGCAGAATTCAGGCTCCTCTCCTCCTCCTAGTCTGGTGCTCCCTCATTAGCTTTACAAAGGTGGCTGAGTTTTTGGAGAAGGGCTATTATCATTTAAACTATAAAATGGCTGGGGGCAGTGGCTTACTCCTGTAATCCCAGTACTTTGGGAGGCCAAGGTAGGTGGATCACTTGAGGTCAGGAGTATGAGACAAGCCTGGCCAACATGGTGAAACTCTACTTAAAATACAAAAATTAGCTGGTCATGGTGGCGGGCGCCTGTAACGCCAGCTATATGAGAGGCTGAGGCAGGAGAATCGCTTGAACCCGGGAGGCAGAGGTTGCAGTGAGCTAAGATCACGCCTTACACTCCAGCCTGGGCAACAGAGTGAACCTCTGTCTCAAAAATAAATAAATAAGTAAATAAAATTAAAAAATAGAGTATTAACTAAATGTCTTCCAAAGTTAGCTTGGCCAAAGTCCAGGAATAATTAAGGCAGCTTGAAGGCTAAAGGCAAGAGGGGGTGTTGGCTAGATCAGATCTCCCCTACTGCCACAATTTTCTCACTGATATAATTTTTGCAAAGGCAGCTTCAATATTTGTGTCTAAAATCTACTTTATTTACAAAAAAAGGCCATGAGCCAGACTTGCCCATGAGCCCAGAGTTGGCCAATCCCTTGCTCTACCCAGGTAAAAAATCTTACAATTAGGGCAGTGTGACATCACTATAAAAGAATATTCATTTCCTCTGGATTTCAGTAATGACTGACAGTCCCACTATATTTCACTAGTATTCTTCTCTGCAGTATTCCTCAGCTATTTCAAATCTTCTCTACAAATATACCCACTCAGTCACAACAGGTAATCTGATCTTTTATTTCAAGGAGAAAATAGGAGGCACTCAATCAGAATTTCCTTAATGTCTTACCAACAAACCTACAAACACATTTACTTCCACTTATCCTTTTTCCTTCTTCACTCCTGTTATCATAGAAACATGATTCCTCAACCCTGCCTTTTTTTTTTTTTTTTGAGATGGAGTCTTGCTCTGTTGCCCAGGCTGGAGTGCAGTGGCACAATCTCAGCTCATTGCAACCTCCGCCTCCCGGGTTCAAGTGATTCTCCTACCTCAGCCTCCCGAGCAGCTGGGACTACAGGTGCCCGCCATGATGCCCAGCTAATTTTTGTATTTTTAGTAGAGATGGAGTTTCACCATATTGGCCAGGCTGGTCTTCAGATTCCTCCCCATTTTTAATGTTAATCCCCCTACTTGTGTTCAGATTCCCTTCAGCACTGTCAGAAATCGCACCCTATAGATTATCTTCTGGGTATTTATAACCTCTGTCCCCACTGGCTCATTCCCAACAGCACTAAAAGTTCAAGTCTTTTTCATCTTAACACCCCTTCCCTAAGACAAAAACAAAGAGCCTTTTCACCCTACGTTCTCCCTAATCTTTCCTCCTCTTCAAATCCAAACTTTGGCTATCTCTAATTCCTTATCTCCCATGTATTTCTCAACTAATTGCAATCTTATTTTTATTGCACTACTCTAAATCATACTACTCTTCCAATATTACCAATAACCTCCTCATCTGATTTAATCTGTTCGTAGCATTCAACACAGCTGATTACTCCCATCTTCTTTAAAGCAATCTTTTACTGGCTTCCATTGTATCATATATTCCTGATTTTCCTTTCTCTCCTTGGCTACATCTTTTCATCACCTATAGCAGAGTTTGGTTTCCTTTTTCTGTCCTATTTATCTTTGTCTTCAAGGTTTTGTTCTATGCACCCCTTTCAATTGCCACTTGTATGTTATGGGTTAAGTATCCCTTATCCAAAGTAACTGGTACCAGAAATGTTTCAGATTTCAGATTTTTTTTGGTTTTGGAATGTTTGCATTATACTTACTGGTTGGGCATTCCAAATCTAGAACTCAAAAAAACTTCAAATTTTGAACTTCTGGATTAGGGACACTCAATATGTAGTGAGGCACAAATCTGTATACTCAGTGTAGACCTCACTCCTGAATTCTGGGTATGTATAGATCGATTCCTGGATTATCTTCATTTGGATTTCCCGTAAATCCCTCAAACTCAACAAATCAAAAATTGAACTCATCATTCCAACCCTTCCCTATCTTAGTAAATAACAATATAATCCACCCAATTGCCAAGCTAGAGAACCTGGGGTCATTCCTATATATATATATATATGCACATATATATATATATAAATATATTCCTATATATATATATAAAAATAATGGCTTTGTCAAGATAAAATTCACATATCATACACCTTGGAACCCATAAAAAGTATCACTAGTGATGCTGCAAGTGGTCCCAAGAAGCAGAGAAAAGTCATGACATTACAAGAACAGGCTGAACTGCTTGACATGTACCATAGATTGAGGTGTGCAGCTGTGGTTGCCCACCATTTCAAGATAAATGAGTCCAGCATAAGAACCATTGTAAAAAAAGAAAATTTGTGATGATGTCACTGCAGCTATGCCAGCAGATGTGAAAACCTTGTATGTTTTGTAAAATACCTTTGACCTCTTATTGAGAATCCAACTTTTATGGGGGTGCAGGATTGTTAAAAGAAAGGCATATCGATATATAGACTCTAATATGACTTTTAAAAAGCAAAGTCAATATAGTCATTATATGACAATGTGAAGCCAAAGGAAAGTGAAGGATCTAAAGCTGGAGAATTTAATGCCAGAAAAAGATGGTTTGATAATTTTGGAAAGAGGTTTGGCTTTAAAAAAGTCAAGATAATAGGATAAGAAGCTTCTGCCCACCAAAAGGCAACAGGTGAGTTTCCAGATATCATTAAGAAAATCATCGAGGACAAAGGATATCTGCCTGAACAGGTTTTAAATGTAGACAAAAATGCCCTATTCTGGAAAAAAAAAAAAAATCCACAAAGGACTCTTATGATATGGACCCTTCGATGATATGGGCTCTGAAACTAAAGCAAATAGTGGAAGAAGGATCAGTACTGTAACAGAAACATTTTTAGAGAAATAAAGCAGAACACACAGAAATTACGACGTATTTCCATAGTTATACCAAGTGTGCCTGCCTTTCCTTCCAAATCTTCTTACACCTTTTGCTACCCTACAGACAGCAAGGTCAACCCCTCCTCTTCCTGCTGCTTCTCCTCAGTCTACTCATGTGAAGATGATGAGGATAAAGACCTTTATGATGATCCACTTCCACTGACTTAGTAAATATATTTTTCTTCCTCATTATTTTCTTAATAACATTTTCTTTTCTCTAGCTTACTTTATTGTAACAATACAGTATATAGGCCAGGCGTGGTGGCTCACGCCTGTAATCCCAGCACTTTGAGAGGCTGAGGTGGGTGGATCAACTGAGGTCAGGAGTTCAAGACCAGCCTGGCCAACATGGTGAAACCCTGTCTCTACTAAAAATACAAAAATTAGCCAGGCATGGTGGCACACGCCTGTTGTCCCAGCTACTTGGGAGGCTGGGGCAGGAGAATCACTTGAACCCAGGAGGCGGAGGTTGCAGTGAGCTGAGATCACGT